TGTTATAGGAGGCGTAGTAGAGGTTGTTTACCAGTGAGGAAGGTGGGTGTGGCTAGCCTGGGGACACCACCACCACAGGCACGCCAGTATCCCCCACTCCCCACCTCCGTCTCCCTCCCTTACTGTGTCTCACTTTATTGATGAAAATTCTGAACATGGAAGAGCAGGATAAGATGGGTTTGTTCCCCTAAAGCTACAAGCACAATGCCTTCCCATTTACTTTTTGAACCACCTTTCCCAGCTATCCCTTTCACCTCCACGTAACCCCAACACCCAAACAGTCATTCCCGATAACTTAACAGGTCAACCACCCCCACAAACATCTATCATTCATGGCTCCTCACACCCTCTAGCGCACCTTTACAAGCATCCACTTCTGTCAACACCGCCTCCATTCTCCCCACTAAAACAAGCTCCGTTCACCACACGCTTCTCACCCTCCCTCGGTAAACTTTTAACTCCAATACTTTCAAACTAAAAAAAAAAAAAAAAAAATCGCTGTACTTTCCCCCCTTTGAAATTAGTCATGAAATGAATCTAAGGTCCCTGAGTTGAAACTGAGCACTGACTTAACCTGCCGTCCCGAAATGTTTACTGCTATTTGAGGTAAAGGACATAGATGCCTTACTCACTGCGCTCAACTCAAGAGACTCGCAGGATCTCGTCTGTTTTACCAGGGATGTGCCCACTGAGTGTTGATTGATCACTATCCGATACAAGAAAGGTTAATAAGTGACAAGTTGTCTTCCATAGTAACATCTGTCCGAGGTTCCACGGGAAATATTACCATGAATGGGAGAGTCAGAGCGGGGAGGTGCGGCCAGTTAAGAGAGCGAGGAAGAGTGAACTGGTAAAAGGGAGCGAGGAGATGACGGGAAGGGGTAGAGGACCATGCAGGTGAGCGGGAGGGAGGGAGAGGAGGGAGAGAAGGAGGGAGGGAGGGAGGGGAGGAGGGAGGGGGGGAGGGAGGGAGGGAGAGAGAGAGAGAGAGAGAGAGAGAGGAGAGAGAGAGAGGGAGGGAGGAGGGGGAGGGAGGGGAGAGAGAGAGAGAGAGAGAGAGAGAGAGAGGGAGTGAGTGGGAGGGTGGGAGGGAGGGGCCTGGCTCTGCACCACAAAGTTGAGACAACAACCACCCCAGGCACCGACAAGCGGAAGGCTGCGGGCAGGGCTGCGGGCAGGGCTACGGGGTGGGGGCGTTTAGTGGGGTGGGTTAGTCTGGGATGGGAAGAACGAGGGAGGTTAGAGGTGTGGGTAAGTCTGGGAAAGGAAATTTAGTGGGATGAAGGAGTCTGGAAGGCTATGGAGAGCGAGAGAGCCACACGTCGAGGACCAATGTTATGTTGTGTAGTGTAATGTTAGTTGAGATAATGGTTAGCCTCAATTCCTGCATGTCAACAATATTACAATTCAGGTAGAAACAATTAACAAACAAACACTCATGAGGAATAAGTGTGCCTTAAGAATTTATCCGTAAGTGTACTAATTAAGTAATCATCCTTCAGTCAGGTCAGGTCAGGTCAGGTCAGGCGGAAACTGAATGGAACCAAATACAAACCGTGAGATATGGCACTGTACCTCACTTGACCGTCGGGAACGGCTACAATTCCCAAATTATTCAGACTACCAATACTCCCAACCGTCCTAACAACTTGCCACAACACTTCACACGCGGACTGTCGTCCTTATTGCTACAAAACCCCAAAAATTTAGACAGGAGATAAAAACTGAAGAAACACTTGAAAAATATCAAATTGGCATAACCATTTCAATATTGTTCTTATTGTCCACAGTATTTTTCTGGCTAAATAAGCTGTATTAATATCATTGGGTAAGACGGCAGGCCATCGCGAGGGGAGGAGCTGAAAACCTTTAGACGTGACAGAAGCCGAAATAGTGTTGGAGGAGTGTGGTTACCATGTAGGCCGACGAGGCCAGGGGTGACTCTCAGCACCCACCATCCTCATACACGCCGCCTCCTGCTACTATTTAAGCTGCTGCTGCTACTGCTGCTGCTGCTGTTGTTGTTGTTGTTGTTGTTTCTGCCGGTGCTGCTGCTGTTTCTGCCGGTGCTGCTGCTGTTTCTGCCGTGCTGCGGTTTCTGCTGTCGCTGCCGTTTATACAGCTGATGCTCATATACTAGCACATGGATCCAGAACAAGGATAAAATCATTGACAGTAGCAGAGCTAATTTACGGCTACCAACAAGACAGAAAGACAAAGGATCAAACTAAAAACCATTCAGTCAACGAAACAATCAACAGACTAAACCACCACCAACCACAGTAGCCAGCTGCCAACCCACACCAACCATACAACATGCCATCTACTAAATTAAGCCTTTCAACTTACGCCCTGCCATCAACCCATCCAACCAACTAGTGCTAGACAACATTATACCACGAAATCCTACAATATATATATATATATATATATATATATATATATATATATATATATATATATATATATATATATATATATATATATATATATATATATATATATATATATATATATATATATATATATATGTAATATATATATATATATATATATATATATATATATATATATATATAATATATATATATATATATAATGTATATATATATATATATATATATATATATATATGTATATATATAATGTATATATATATATATAATGTATATATATATATATATATATATATATATAATATATATATATATATATAATGTATATATATATATATAATGTATATATATATATATATATAATGTATATATATATATATATACGTATATATATATATATATATATATATGCATATATATATATAATGTATATATATATATATATATATATATCATATATATATGTATGTATACATATATATGACACACATATATATATGCATATATATATATATATGTATATATATATATATGCATGTACATACATATATATACATATGCATACATGTATATACATATATATATATATATATATATACATGCATATATATGTATACATATGCATATGTATATATGCATATATATATATATATATGTATACATATATGCATATATATATATATACATATATATATATATATATGTATATATATATATATATATATATATATATATATGATATATATATATATATATACATATATATATATATATATATATATATATATGTGTATATATATATATATATATAATGTATATATATATATATATATATATAATATATATATATATATATATATATATATATATATGTATATATATATATATATATATATATATATATATATATATATATATAATATTCAGAAATTTCAGAGTTTCAAAACTGCGCCATTGGCATACTGAGCTTAGGTCGTCTGAGGGAAGAGAGCGCTCCCTCGCATATAGAGGTTGTGAACTAGGCCTATGTGATATTAAATGTAATTTGCCGAATTAATAATGATGCGATTCATGAAGTTAAGACTATATTAATTTGAAATTATTATAGATCGTTTATCGTCTGAATAATGTTACGGTGTCCCAAAAGAGTTATTAGTTAGGCGGAAAATATACGTAGTGGCCTAGCTAGCGCCTTGGAGAGATGCGACGCTGGCTGGTCCTCAGTCACGAAAGCGATTGGACCTACAGACATCCTGCGGTCCGTCCACAGAAATAGTCACGTGGCTTAGTCACCTGTGCTGCGCTATTGCAGTATAACAAGTAAGTCTCATTCGATCTCAGACAGGGTTAGATAGGGCAGTGATAGAGAAACCAGAGCTAACAGTGGTGTTCATTTCAGGGTTTCCGCCAGAACCCACTTGACTGGGAGAGATTGATGACGTTTGAGACTGCCGTTGATGATTGAGGGTGGCGATTGTCGCCATTGGACCGATCAGTGTAGGCCTGTCACTGTTTAGCGGGTATCAGGATCTCTTGAGGAATCTAGCCGTCTGGGTGCCCAGCTGACGACGGGACGATCGTTGGGGTCATCAGCTCTCCTCTACCAGCAATACGTAACCGAACGAAGTACAATGA